AAAAAATGAACTAACCTAGCTTGCTTTGAGGTCTTCTAGCTTCGGTCTGCGCGTTGTTGATGCACCCAGCTTGTGAACGCTTTGCAGCGCTAACGGCAGAAGCCGCTTGGCGGGGGCAGCTGCTGTACTGTGGCGTGTCTTGTGTGCCTGCAGATCCTGCTCTCAGGAGCGGACGAGCAGCTCTTCCTGGACGGACCTCAGGGCCCACCCCCTCAAGCAGAAGGAGCTGGCTAATTTCTGCAGCCTGCTGCAGGAGCACTATCACCAGAGCTATGTCAAAGGTACAGTCCTCGTCTGTGCATAGTAATGCAGTTTGGCTTGGCTGGGGGCAGAATCCACACGTCAGAGCAGTGAGGTCTTGTATTAACTGGTGTGTGGGCTCTGTAATTACCTCCTGCCAGTGAAAAGCTGGACCTGTTGGCATGTAGAGGTGTGATGTCGAGCCGACAGCGGATCCTGCCTCCTCATTGATCGAATTTATGACGTATCGGGATCGGGGTTACGTTTTCTTTTGAGTATTGTTCAGACATGCATTGGATAGGCACTCTCGTGAACTTGCCTTTGGATTCTTTTTTATAAAGTGGAAATGAAGGGCCTCCTAGCAATATGCCAGAGGTGTTTAAGTTTTTATTTAAGTTTAGTTTCAGAGAGTAATTACAGATTCTGCTCTCCCAGGCAGAACTTCTGGTAAGGATTGTATGATGAAGCAGATGCTGACTGGCAGTCATTAGCAGTTCTCTAGAAATTGTTTCCATCCTGTAGAAATCCAGTTACAATTCACTTTCCAGTCTATAACTCTGGGACATATTTTGGTCTTAAAATAATGTTGTCCACACAGATCATATTGGCACTCGACAGTTTCTCCTGTGATAGATCTTTTCTCCGAGTGGGGAAATTGATTAGAGCTGTCAGCCTTTTGATGTGCTACTTGCAGGATTCCATTTATGTTTTTGGCACTGACATCTGTAAATGTAATTTCAAAGATAAATAAGACAATCGTGCAGAGTAAATAAGGATGATATGACAGGTTGACAGATTCATATTCATACTTATTTTGTTCTTGTATGCAGATGTGCTAAGTTTTAAGATATGTTTTCCCCAGTGTTTAGCTGTTAGTCTTGTGGTTTAGTTTTATGCAAACTTTTAGGACAGAAGGTAGTGATTTCCTTTCTTCACCTGGTGGCATGATTTAACTTTGTTGCGCGTTACACCGCCGCAAACCAGGGACTGAGGCAGACAGGTTTCGCAGACGTCTGCAGGGAACAGCACCTAAGTACTGTTATACAGTAACCCCAAAACCTAAGTGCAGCAGCATCGTAAACAAACGATTAGTTTGAGCTACAAACGGATGCTGTGTGCGACACAACATTGTGCTGGGACATGGCCTTCCCTTCTGGGAATATTCAGGTATGCTGTGTTCAACCTAGTGCACCATGATACTGCCAGTCCCCTCACGGGGAGAAGCATGTTCAGTGTGCCCCGGCACTTGATGCATCGTGCTCGAGCATTTCCCATCCTGCCTCAGGAGTGTACCACAGCCTGCAGCAGTCGCACGGGGTCTGCTCTCAGGACGTGCTGACGGCGATGGACTACTGCGAGGAGTCCCTGCAGGAGATCGACATCACCTCCTTCCTGCAGACCCTCTGCGGCCACATCCGGGCGTTCCGCGAGCGCTGCGACCGGCCGGGCGGCTGCCCCCCTGCCACCTTCACCATCGGCGCCACGGACGTGGAGGAAGAGGGGGCCACGGAGAAGGGGGCTCTCCTGTCCAGCTCCAGGTACAGTTCAGATTCAGTGAGCTTGACTGGCACGACTGATGAATTGCTTTGGCAGCACTGAAATCGCAATTAAAAGCCCTTCATGCACGTGAACTGGAACATGATGATGATGATGATGATTATAAAGGCTCAACATGTTTTTTGGGCTGTGACAGGAGATCACGTACTTGACTTTTATCTCTGCCAAGTTTCCTCCTCCTTCCTCAGCTGGACGCTCTTCTGACTGGGGCAGGAGTGGGAATTCAGCGCATACATTTGTTTCAGGTGGTGAAATCTTGGTGTCCAGGAAAACCTCCATGCAGTTACCTTCAGTCTGGATTGAAGTGAGATGAAAAGTTACCCTGCCTTAGTTTAATCTCTTGCTGTCTGAAGAGCAGTAGTTCGGTGTATTTATTGAAAACCAGAAGGCAGTCCTGAGAAAGCCCTTTGCTTCTCTCATCTGTGGTGTGTTAATAGACTTCATTTCATTGCGAAGAAACACACTGCTCTCCTGAATTGTCTCTTCTCGCAAATTGCTGATTAAATGGAACAGTACATCAAAACCTGACACTTATCAGAAGAAAAACCCCTTTGTCTTCTGTTTCCCTGAGGAATGCCCAAACAACATCCATCTTCTTTAGGAATTACTCTTGTTGTGCATTGCACATCAGTAAATTGCAAGCTGTGCATGAGAAAAGGGTGTGGATGGTGGGGTTCTTTCTCAGTTTAAAAAGAGTCACTCTTTAGCCTAGCTGAGGAGCTCTGGGTTGTTTTTCCGAGATTTAGAAAGCTGGGTTTCTTTTTTCCTTTTTGTCACACGTTTCACCATTGATTACAAAGGAGAAATATGATTTTGGAGATTTGGGTTTATTGAGGGATGAGAGAAGTAACCAAGGCTTATATCCTCTCACTTCTGTTCAGCACCACAAAAGAGTGTTTTATCTGCCACAGAAAGTGCGAACCCTTGGCCAGACGTCAGCTGTGACATTTGCTGCAGTCTTTTCAGCAGACATGAAAAGCATGTGCTATCTGGCCTTGCCAGTTGATCGATATGACTCACTGCTTGAAATAGCGGCATGGAAAATGAAGTTATTGTTGCAATCAGTAAGATAGAAGCAACCTTTGGATTTATCTGCTGTTTTGTGTTGTATCCAAAGGCTCAGCTACAGTCCTTGAGAGAATGTTTGTAGCAGACGTGAGCAGAGCGTTTTTTTTCTTTTCTTTTTCATGGAGGCAGCTGTCAGCGGTTTTTGAAGTGAGAACCTTGACTTTGTTTTCCTTCATTGCCGGAGCAGGGCAACAGACACTCTCTTGGTTTGCCTTGGCAGTGTGGAGACGGAAGAGGCCAGCGAAGCAGCGGAGTCTCGAGCGAAGCCCTCAGCCCCTGCTTCCCCTCTCTCCCCCGAAGAACCCAGGCCTCGCAAGGCCTACCCAGAATTCCCTCTGTCGCTTTTACAGACGCAGCAAAAATGCGAGGTTTATCCCGACCTGCATAGGATTATCCAGGTAAAGACCGGCAGCTCCTATAGACGAGAGTACTGACTTGCCTGCGTCTGCGCCGTCGTGAAGTGCACGTGTCTGTTCTGTGAGCCAGCTGAGAAAGTTAGACTTCTACTCGTTAAAACTCTTAAAGGCAACGCAAGATTGATTTTTTTCCCGCTCTTTTTCAGGACAAATTTGTGGAAATAGGCGCACAGTACTTCAAGGCAGTGCCCTCCAACCCTCACTATTTTTTTTACTGCCCACCCTCTGCTAAGAAAGAGGTGAGTCTGAAAGAAGGAGAGAAAGGGTTTCATCTGCTCATCAGGCGGCAGGCTGGGAGGACCAATCCAGGGGACTCATGAGCACAGCTTGGATAGCTTGCTCAACAGGGCTAGCAGTCGGAAGCCCAGCTGACATTTCTGTCTGCGCTTGTCCCAGGAGGAGCCGGGTCGCGGCGAGGAAAGAAGACTGAGCGAGGAGATCGAGGTGTCGGAGGCGGAGCTAGCCACAGAGGATGGTGAGTGGTGCTGCATCACCCCGTGGGAATAATCTTCTGATCTTTGTCATTCTTACAAGGCCAGGTCTGGGCAGGCATTGCACAGAGGTGACTGTTGAATTGACAAGTTTGTTACAAGTTTTGCATAATGCAGCAGTAGTCTCTCAGATGTCACTATAGGATGTGTGCTGGTTTTGATTATTCTGCTCGTGCAGCAGCTTCCTCTGCACCGAAGTATGCTTTACACATGTAGCCTTGTGTTTTAAGTCGTGCCCTGCAATGTGAGAAATATTCTCCTTTCTTCATCCATTGCTCTGCACAAGGATGTTGCTCACTCTCACCGGGTACTATTGTTCAATAATAACTCCAGCCTGGGCCTCTCATGGCTTCTGAGTGGATCTGGGTAGCTGGCCTCCCTGAGGCTACAAAGATGGCGGGACTGTGTTGGGAAACACTGCATTCCCTCCCCGGAGATCCCTGGATATTTTCCTGTCCTGATTTTGTTTACATGGAACTCTCTGCTGCTCAGATCTGTGATGCCAGGGGGCAGGAGTGATAGCGCTCTCCTGATTTATCAAGCCCTCTTGGTCCGGTAATTCTGTCGCTGCTGTGAGACTTTATTCCAGGGAGCTTGAGAGAGGGTAGCTGGAGGATGGGGAGTGAAGGAGAGGCTGCATCACCCCATGGGAGTAATCTCTGTGATCTTTGTCATTCTTCTGAGGCCAAGTCTGAGCATAGCAGTAGAGAAGTGATGTTGAATTTTGCAAATGGGTTTAAAGTCTCGCAGAATAGAGCCACCTTGTGCATTCCATAAGGTTTGCAATCCGGCCTGCAGTCCACCTTAAAATATAAATTACTTTATATGCAACTGCCTTTTATATATCAGAATTTATGTATTCAATATTGTTATTAAATGTTATGTTGCATGTTAGCATGGGTATCTCTCATATGTGTCTGTAATGGGGGGGAGGGGGCAGGGACATTTTGAACCAACCTGCCGTCTTTGCCCCGAAGAGATTGTGCGGCTCCTTGCCCCTGTTCACTGTGGTCTCCCCTCTGTGCGTGCTTGAAGAGAACGTGTCGGGGTGCTGCATCGTCACGGAGAGCGACACCGACCTGGAGGTGGAGTACCGGGAGCGGCCGGACGGGGGGCTCCCTGACAACGACTCCCTCTCCGACTCCAACACCGTCAACCAGGACGAGGACTCCTTCAGCATCCTGGAGGGGGGTTCTCTGCTGGAGCCGGAGGCGCCGCAGCGGGAGATGCCCCCCCTGTTTGTGCACCTCACCTGCTCCATCAGCGTCAAGAACTGGCACGGCTCCGTGCCCATCCAGACCCTGCCGACCTGCCTGGGTGAGACGCGTGCTGCAGGCCTTTGTCTGGGTTTTCCATTGAGCCCGCCTGCTTACTAGACCACCTGGAAACAAGGAAAAAAAATATTTTCCTTGGATCCGGTGCAGCATTTCAGACCAGATGGTAGTTTTAGTAATAAAGTGACTTCTGCTGTGACTTATTTTGCTTTCGAATCCACCCAAAAGCCAAGATCGGTGCATTTTTAGAACAGCTTTTTTACCCAGACGTGTGGCTGAAGGTGATACTTTCACCTCCTCCTGCTCCTTCAAGAAGTGGCTAGCTACCCCATGGGTCAGATGAGCTGACTGGCCTCCTTTCTTTTGTAACCTCTCTTAAGTTCTTGATCTTTGATGTTTCACGGTCAAAAATCTCTTTGAGGTGCAGTTATTTTCTGTGGTTTTACATTTCAAGGTGGTGTTTTTAGTGCAAGATGGTGTTTCTGGAGTTAACAATTTATATGAATCATTTTTGTCTGCCATTAAGCATTCACCTTTATGAAATTGAATAGTAGATGTGCAAAAAGGCAGTTTTTACTCGCTGGCTAATTGGTATGTCTGCCTGTTGTTTCTCTGCGGGGGGAAGGTGTCTATTGTGGTGTTCAACAGGTTCTGTTTGTGCTGTAGGGGAGGTGATTACGTGCCTGGAGAACTCCGAGTCCCTTCAGTCGGTGGATTTGAACGACCTGTCTGTCACCCTTGACATCTTTGTGCTGACGCTGCCCCTGGAGATCGAGGTCATGGCCGCAGACATGCATCACAACAGGTGAGGCTCCGGCTCCAGGGCCGAGCAGAGAGAGGTACGCTGGGCGGTGTCCTCTGCACCATCAGCCAGAGCAGTACAGGAGCCCAATTTATCTCATTTAAGATTTTAACAAGCCTCTAAAGCAGTTGCAGGGATATTCAGCCCTATAGTGAGACTTGACAGTAATAAAATTAATCCACAATGGGAAGCAACACAAAGTTTGCTTCCTTGTGTTTGCAGGTTTGTGTCCTTGTATTATCTTTCTCTCTCTCTCTCTCGGTGTCTTAGCATTAGCGTTCCCTTTCCTGCTCTGCGTTTCAGATACACCTCCGAGAGCAGCGTGTCGCTGAACCGCTCCCCCGGCCAGCCCTCCTCCTACCGCTCCGATGACGAGCTCATGCGGGACCTGGACGGCCTGCGCGGGGCTGGCGAGGACGGGTCAGTATAGTTGCGGGGGGAAGACGGGGGAGGAGGGGCTATTTAGGGACTGGAGGGAGTGGCTCTCTGGAGGGAGGGACTCTCTGTGGGGGGAGGAGTCTCCCTGGAGAGAGGGTATGATGGGAGGGGCTCCCTAGAGGGCGGGGCCAGTGGGAGGGGCTCCCTGGAGGCCTGGGCCAGTGGGAGGGGCTCCCTGGAGGGTGGTGCCAGTGGGAGGGGCTTGAGGGAGGGAGGGGCCAGAAGAAGAGTGTGCATTTGGAATGAGGGCAGTGCAGAGGGAGGACATGGAGGTGTGTTAGAATAGCTCCAGGCTGAGAGCAGCTTTGACGGGATGCTAAAGAAAGAGTTCCTTTAGGATGCACTAGAAGGCCGCCAATACAGAATGTCCACCACCAATCGTGCAACAGTCCAGTATTAATCTACTTCCTGGCCCAAGGTTTGCTGTTCCTTTTGGTAATGTGAAGCAAGGAAGAGGATTAAGTGTCATTAGAAGAGGGAAGATCAGTTTTGCCTATACCCCCTATCCCTGGACAGATATTTGCTGTTGGGAAATGGTCACGATCATGGTCTTAGCGTTGAGTGGCTAGGGATGGCAAGCTGTAAGAAAGCAATTATCTTCTGCTTCCTCTGTAGGCTTTCGGGAGATCCTCTGTCCAAACTGCCCATCCCTCATAAGCAGGCAGTGCTGGCCACCATGGATGAGGTGAGGGAATGCTTTTCCCCCTGAGTCACACAGGATGCATAGAGCCTTTTAAAATGGCCAAACCTGTTGTTCCAGTATTTAATTGGCAAAGTACTCTTTAACGGTGGGAGGTGGAAACATAGTTCATCATGAGGTTCCAGATTGTTGTAATTCCCATGTTTCTTCTGTAGAAATGATTTTTTTTTACTTAGCAGTTCTCAAAATGCAGCATGATGTCGAGAATTCCTATGGATTATGTATTTTGTTTATGGAGATTTGGGCTCCAAGAAAGAATGAAGGACTCTCCTCCTGCTGTACTGTTTCACTTCCGCGGAGGTCTGGTTAATATTAAACAGGTGCCTGATGGGGTGTATAAATGGAAACCTACAGTGAGTTCAGTTCTTTGTTTATCAGTGCCGTTCCTGCTTAAAAAAAACAAAGCACTTTTCCCTCTGCTAGGCTCCTGCTGAGAAAAGGAGACCTTTGCAGTGACAGAAGTGTGATAAAAGTCTGCTTGTCCTCTCTCTCGCTCTCTCTCTCTCTCTCTCTCACTCAGATCCGCTGGCTGCTGGAAGATGAAATAGTCTCCGCTCTGCGCCACTCCAAGGTGATCAGCGCACCCACGCTGCAGAAGGTGGCAGACCATGTGTACCGATCGCGAGGTCGCCCGCAGTGCCACTGCGAGGTCGTGCCCCTGCAGTTCGTCTTCGGCCCCGAGCAGTCGCTGGAGAAGTTCAAGGAGGTAGGTGGATCTGAATGCAGAGGCTGGGCCCCCCGGGAGCTCTGCTGTAACACCTTGACATTGCAGACTAACCGCCGCGATGGTTTTCTTTACACATCCGAGCTACCAAAACCTGCACGGCGCGAATTCAAAAGTGCGATCTCAATCCAGGAATAAACAAGAGACTTTTACTCCAGCAGAGATCTTTCCTACAGCGATCGAAATACTCTTTATGAAGATTCTTGTAGGTCAGCTTGTACAAAGGGGACAGGGGGATGGATCTGATCAAATATCTGTTAATTGCCTGTTGGCATACATTGTAAGAAATGAATTATTTGAAGACCTGAGAGAGAGGACACATTACCCAGATGACAGTTCAACAAATAGATTTTTCTGAACTGTTAGACCATCACCCATCAAACTTGCCCTTTCACTTCTGTATAAATGCATGTGCGTCTCCCACTCTTTTTTTTCCCCACAGCTAATGCAATTCCCAAAATATGGGAAACCCTCTTTTGCTTTGCCAAAGGCTCAAAGCTCCCTGTTGAATACCGTCTTCATTCCTGCTCTTGACTCTAGTTCCGACAACCCCCTTTTTTTATATGCATACATTTTTCTTACGTGTCTTTCAAAAGAAATTGAAATTAGTTCCATGCTTTGGCAAAATTGAAGAATTATCAAGATGGACTCGGTTTCCGCTCTGAAAGCAAAGCCTCTTCTCCTGACAGGAGTTCCGGAGGATGTCCCTCTCGGGCTACCTGCTGAACGGGGAGCTGGCCAACTTCTACTACGTGTCGGTGAGCCGTCTGCACGCTCAGAGGCTGCAGGCCGCCAGCAGGAAGCTCTCCGAGCCCAGAGCCAGCGTGGCTGAGGGGCAGGCGGTGGAGGCGGACAGGTCCTCCCCGCCGGCCAATCACTGCGGAGACCGGGCGGAAGCAAGGTCCTTACAAGCCAATCAGAGCGCAGCAGGCAGGGGATTGGAGAACGAAAAGGAGGCGGAGAGGCGAGAGCAGAACTCAGGGGTGAGCCAGTGAGGTTGGCATTGCCTGTGCACAGGGGGCGACCTGTATTTCTGTGTTCAAGAACAGTTAATGGGACACTATTGTACTGTACTAGCAGTACATCTTATTTACAGAAAACTGTTCGGAACGGTCACTTAACGTGACTAGAATCTATAAAACAATGTCATGCATTAGAGAAGTGTTCCACTTGAAATGCAAATGTTTCAGATAGAAAGTTGAAAGTTAGGAAGATGTCAGTTTTCTTTTTGGTGGTGTTCATTTTGTTCAATAGAGGGTTTATTTGAGGTTTTTTTCTGAACCAGTCTCTCTGTCATGGCAGTGATGGGATTGGGTTGTTTTCCCAGGTTTCGGCGGAGGAGAAGTCTCCCGCGGGCGGCGCAGAGTCGGCGAGGGAGCCTGTGTACGAGCCCCCTGAGAACAGCATGGCTGGCCCGCTGGACGGCACCCCTGCCCCCCTCCGAGAGGACAAGGAGGAGAGGAGTGTGGGAGCCCAGAGCTCGCAGGGCAGCACTGCGGGGAAAGAGCTAAGCGCAGCCCCTGCTTTAAGGCCCGAGCCTGCCCCCCCCAGCACCCCGTACCTGCAGCCTAGCAACAGCACGGACAGGTCCTCCGATCACACCTCGCCCCCCAAGACTCCCTCCGGAGTGAGCCTGGCCGAATCTGTGCAGTCTGCCACCCACAGTGAGTGTCTGCCCCTTCCTGCTCTTGGGGACGGGGGGCTTCCCCCTGACCCAGACACGCAAGTGTTCCGCTGGGCTTTCTTTCTTATTTTCTGCCCGTGGAATTTGGTTCAGGCACACAGCTAGGAAGATCCCGAAAAATTGTTGGAATTTTAGCAGCAGTATGGCAACCGTTTTACGGTTAGGGATTCCAGCGTGATAGGAACGGATTCGTCACACTTTTCCGTTAACCAGCAAAACTGTTTTATTTTAATCAAATTGATCAGAGAACCTGCGTACAGTGGGGGGAGCAAAATATTAAGGAATGCACGCAATTCGGTGTGTTGTACATGCTAAAACTCTAATGCAAATGCAAACCCACAAATGCAGTAAAAGCCTTAAGTCTTTTTTTTTAGTCCTCTAAATATTCTGCCATTTTCTGACAGAATTTGTGTGTCCCTTATTAGAAAATTCACTGGAACACCTCCCTCGCCCTGGGGAGACAGTTTTAGCAGGAGCCAACATGTAGTTGACAATCTGTTCATGTTCTTGGTGGGATTTCTTTAGACTGCATCTTAAATGTCAGCAGATGTTGTCAAACAGATGACAACTGTGTCAACAGCAGCGGTCTGGGCAAAGCTGGAAGGCTGTGCCTCTGGCCTTCCTCCAGAACAACAGCCAGGCGACTGAAAGCAGGCATCATCATGCCGCAGGTTAAGACTCTTAGAGCATCACCAGCCTGGGCTGCCTCTCGTTTTACGTTCTCAACAATGCAGTGACCTTTCCTTGCGTGGGGTCGTTGTAAGAACTGGTGGCCATCAGCTGGGCTGCCTGTAAGCGCTGTCTGTCCTCTGCAGGTGGGAAGCTGAGACCGAGTCGAGTGCAGAGTGTGGTCTCCAGTCAGGGCAGCCTGGACTCCGACATGCTGGGTGAGGAATCCCTTTTCCTGCTCTTGCAACCAGCAGCATACGGCTTGAACTTCCCCAGAAAGTGCCGGGGGTTTTCGCTGGGGAACGAGGGTTAGTTTGCAGGCCCTGACTGGAGTGTGCTGTGACGTCCTGGGCTCTCTCTCCCTCCTGTTCAGGGTATGATGGAGGCAGCAGTGACTCGGAATGCGAAGGGGCCACCCTGAGCGAGCTGGACCCGCAGTGTCCCCTCATGCCGGACTTCTGGCTGATAGTGCAGATTCATCAGGACAGGGTGGAGGTGTACTCCCATTCTCGGTACAGTAGCGCCACACTGGTGGTGGCCCGGTCCGTGGTTTCTGTTTGTTAAACAAAAGCTGTGAGTCAGCTCTGAGAGCGTTTGTGTTAAAACCATTGTGAAAAGAGGCACATGGTTCAGTTGTACATTTATATAAGGTAGTTCAGGTGGGTAGCAGTGTCAGCATGCGTAGGCTGCAAAGGAACAAGTAATAGGTTTATTCCATGCTGAAAAGAGAAGAAGAAGGCTCCACAGCCGAAACGTTGTGTTTTCTTTCTTCTCTTTTCAGCACGGAATAAACCTGTTACTTGTTCCATTATATAAGATGGTCAAGTCATAGTTACAGATACTTATAAATTGCCTTAGAAGAACTGTCGCGCCATATGTTATGTTGCCTTCTTGGTATAAAATGTAAAACAGTGCTGAACATGCATCGTTCAGCTCATTTTCTGAAGGCCGTATTTTAATTTTTAAAAACACAGACTTCTGTTAACACTGTTAAAAAAATGCAGCCACAGCATTCTTTCTCCATTTGTCTTCATCCAGCCATCTGCGTCCGGTTCGTGCTGGAATGTAGCGCAGTGCTCTGAATGTGATGGACTCTGTTGCTCACCGTTTGAGCTGCGTTGTCTCCGCTGTGCCCTCTCTTCTGCAGGAGTCTCAACGTAGAGAAGGAGGGCAGTCTGGAAAAGAGGGAGAAAGAGGAGGAGGTGCCCGAATATCTACAACTGCACCAGATGATTGTGAGGAAGATAGGGGAGATCTGTCGTGTCGTCAATCAGGTAAGTCAGAAAGCGCGACCTTCTTCCAAACCCTGCCCTGGCCAAGTCCTTTCGTGTCATGGTCTCCCGGAGTTTTCCCGGAGAACTTTCTGGCGCGGTTCCCCCGGGGCCCTTTCACGGGCGCCTCCTGTCTCTCCCCCAGCGGCTGCTCCTCCAAGACCTCCACGACAGCCACGTCTGCAACACGCTGCTGGTGGCGGAGAGCGAGGAGGATATCTGGAAGAACGAGACTCTGTACAGGCAGAGGGCAGCCGCCGCAGATGGTAAGTCGACTCGCGCGTGCGTGTAGGCTCTTGTACTGCCGTGGCTGGCTGCAGCAATAGCGCTGTTCGCTGTGCTCAGTACAGGGATGGGTGAACTCCAAGCAAGAGCTCGTTTCTGTGCATGGTGCTGGTGGACCAGCAAGGTCTTCTCTTCCCCCTCTCTCTCTCTCTTTCCCCCGGACCTGCATTTCCAAATCGCAGCCGCAGAACGATCACCAGGGGTGGTGTAGAAGGCGCCGTCCTTCCATAAACAGCTGATTGTTCATGACATTGGAGGTGTTAACCTCAGTGTCTAGGCTAAACTCCACTCTAGTCTTGCACAATCGGGCCTCAACGAAGCCTCCTCCCAACTCTTGGTGAAGTAGTTCCCATTTCCCCTGATCTGCTGGGGATTGTGGGCTGTTGCATGTCACCTGGGTGTGTGCTGTCTCATTGGTATTCTAACTTGAATTATTAACTAGTTGAAATAAATATATTTATTCTAAACTCCTATTACTTTTACCTAATTAGAGCGTTGTCGGTGTAGTCCTGACTGAAAAGGGGACTGATTTTCAGATGAAGCTATGAGAAATTCTTCAGAGGTTTTGAATTTCCCGGTGAAAGCAGATGCTGATTTGCCGATTCTCTCCTCCTTACCAGCTTCTCTCAGTGGCGTGTGGTAATTGTCAGGCAAACCCTTAGCAGCTTAGCAGCAGCGGAGTAGTTTTAGCAATGCTCACAGCCTAGTAATAGATTCAGAGCAATTGTGTTTTTTAATTTGCAGTATGTAAAAGGCAAATTCTTAAATTTCAGAGTTTCTACAGATTCATTGAATCTGATTCCAAGTGTAGGCTGGGGATAGCTGAAAAGTAATAACTGTGTATTATAAGTAGTCAGAGTTGATTCATAAAAAGAATTGGTTTATTGGTTTACCGTTCTCCTGCTCTGCATGTGTTTCCCTGCCTGGTAGATTATACAGCGGATGAGAGTTACCAGACACGGGACTACTTGGCTGCCACGATGCAGTTCATCCCCGGACACTTCGCCTGCGAGGTGGTGTGGAGCACCATTATCTACATTCATCCGCGCCTCAAGATGGGACCGAACATGGGAGTTTCCAGAGGTACGCAATGCCGCTGTTCGGCCGGGGAGGCAGAAACGCAGGAGAGAGGCAGGCAGCAGCCGGTGGAGGTCCTGGGGAGAGGGCAGCTAGCCCAAGACATCAAGAGAAACTGAAAAATTCTTTGTTAGCACCTGTGGGCAGGGCTCGTTCACAAAGTCCCCACCCCTCTCGGGGAAACGTGATGCACTAATCTTCCTCTCTCAGAGAAATTCGTTTAGAGTTTTTAAAGGGAATTAATTTTGACGCCTTTTGCAACACTTACGCTGTCGTTGGCTCTTATTACACGGCACCGCCGGAAGAGAGCTGGCGATGGCGCAGTGCTGGAGTGTGAGTGTGCCCTGCGCACGCCTGCGTTGTGAGTGATCCGGTGTTTGTGCGGCCTCTCCACAGCCATGCAGGCCCTGCGCTCCGTGCTGAATGCCTTCTCCGTCGTCAACAGGAAGAACATGTTTGTGTACCAGGAGCGCTCCACCAAATCCGTCTTCTACCTCAGGTGTGTGTCTCACGGGGGGGGGCGTGCGAGCCTGACGGAATTCCGCCCTCGCTCCCGCCCAGCAGACACCCTCGCTCCCACCCCTGCCGTGGCCCTCGCCTTTGCTCTTGACTGCCCTCGTGTGTGGCCCCGCCCCCAACCTTGGCCCCGCCCTCGTGTGTGGCCCCACCCTCACTCTTGGCTCCGCCCCTCGTGTGTGGCTCCGCCCTCACTATTGGCTCCGCCCTCGTGTGTGGCTCCGCCCTCACTCTTGGCTCCGCCCTCGTGTATGGCTCCGCCCTCGTGTGTGACCCCGCGCCACCCCTGCCCCCACCCCAGGCCCTCAGTCCTGCAACCGCCCCAGTTCCCACTCGCTCGGAGCCCGGAGCGGGTGTCCAGGCTTATTCCCCGTGTCCTCTTCCCCGCAGGCTTTCCGAGACGCCCCAGAGCGGGAAGTTTGCGGACTTGGACGGCGCCCCGCTCCTCTGCTCCCGCTCCGTCGCTCTCTCCCGCAGCCAGGAGCCCATCTTCTCGGAGGATCTCTCGGTAACGCCGCGGGGCCGGGGGCCGGGGGCGGTTGTTGGCTGTTGGTGGTTCGCCGGTCACCTGGGCGCGTTACAGCAGCGCAGATTTCGCCCTTCCTTCCTGGAGCAGGAGTTCAGTCAGGCCCTTCGTTGGCGGTACTGGCCCAGTGCTGTCGATCACTTAAGTATCATTGAATATGATCGGTTGATGCTTCTAATTGAAGATTAGAAACAAAGGGCTTTGAATGCCTTGGAAAACTATGCAAACTACACATTTATTTGTATTTAAGAGACATTGTGTTGTTGAATGAGATAACCTGGCTTCTTCAGGAAACCGCTGGATGAGATCCTAGCTACTTATTACCAATTGAGCTACATGTGATGATGGGAAGTCCCATAAAGGCATTCCCTTAAAAGAGAATGGAAATAATGTCCTTAAAATAACAGCCCGAACCAGAGGCTTAGAGGGATTCTGAATGCTCTGAACCCATCTAGTAATGTTTTGGGCATAAATGAATGCATGTTATACCCATTCGCTTGGTTCAGTTTCTCAGGTTTTGCGGCTCACGCCTGTAGCGTTGTATGTAAATCACACCCCTTGTCTTGGTTTTTGGGAAGTCGTGAAAAAATGGATGGCAAATTCTGTTTTGTGTGCATCCTCCTTAGGTTCAGAGATCTTTGCTAGTTCCAGCACTCTGCTCATAATCCTATCGCCATCCTATCAATCCTGCTACTCATAATCCCAACTTTCGGATCGCGTTGTTTAGTATGTACTGTAACTGTTGGGCAGGCACTGCGTGCAGTGTGGCACTGCTCAGCAGCTGATGGAAATGTCCATGTTCTTCCGGTGAGCGGACAACAGTTTGGTTGCAATTCTTCAACAAGTTGCGCTCTGTGCGGGGAATCGGAGTGGAATCACAAGGCCCTGGAGCAGAGGCATGGCTGATTCCCTTCGTTGTCTTAAGCACATGTCCCTGTCCTTCCTGCTCAGGGTTCCCGGTCCTCCCTGGAGCAGATATCCACCCGCGGTGTGGAGGGCTTGCGGCCTGTGGGGCAGATCGACAAGCACATCCTGCTGCTGGTCCATGGAGTTGGGCAGGCGGGTATGAAAGAGGGTGGGAGGGCAGACCGTCTGCTCTTGGGGGACATTGGAGTGCAAGATAAATACAGCTTTAATTAACTACCATGTTGTTTCCAAAAACCCTTATTATTTTTTACAAATATCAATTTCCTTTTTTAAAAAAAACAAACAGATTCTTGTTGAATTGACATATAGCAAGGTATGTTAGCCAAGTATCTTACAGGTACCATACAGTGGAGATGAGGTCTAGAGTTTAGGGCTGGATCGCTTAAGATTGTGCAGCACAAAACCAAAAAGACTGGAAATTTCTGCAACCCCAGTTTACTACAGTACTGCTGAAGAACCGTAACCAAGCCTAATCACGTTCAATGAAACTCTCATTTTCATGCTGTAGTGTAAATTACCTCTGCTGTGAAGACCGGGAGAGAAGATCAATTTCTCGGACTTTGAATCAGTCAAGATTAATAGAACATTTTGACATGGGGAAAATACAAAAATATAATAGCGTGGTTAGAGAAAGTACCACTGCAATAAAAAAAAAACTGTAGGTGAGTCAATCTGCAGCATACTAATAGCCTGACGACAGTTTGTGGTAATGCAAGTTGAGAGCTAGCAATGATGGATTGAGCTGAGAAGCAAGAATAACAAATTGTATAACAGCTATGATTCATTTCTATTGTTATTTTAGCTTTGCACGTTTCAAGGTGTGTTGTCTAAAGTGGGGAGAGAACTGCTCAGGGTTTTGAGGCGGGGAAGTGATGAGGAACGACCCGAAAGCAGCGAGGGGTGTTGCGTGACAGAAGGACAGATTGCAGGGGCGGTGGCGGGGGTGTGTGTGTGTGTGACCTGCAGGAGGGGCGCAGCTGGGGGGAAATGTGTGTGCTGGTGTGATAAAGGTGAGAAGGAAGAGAAGATCTAGTTCTGCAGCTCCGCGTTCGTATGTCTCTATCATGAGTGAAATCTGCAGACACTAATGGCCTATCCAGCAGATTTATGTGTGGCAGCTGAAATAGACTCAGCCTGAGTTGATTCATTTAAGCGCTGTGCGCAGTGCATACTTATGTAAAACACTTACCAGTGCAGTGCTGCTTTCAGTCTCCTGGATGGCAGTGTTGCTTTGTCTATCAGCATTATTTCTTCTTTAAGCTCAAAGCTTGATTCTCATGAATGCAGTCTTTTCTCTAACGTGGTTCTGCAATTGTAAAGCCCGGGTGTCTTGGAGGGGGTGGGCGGTGGCTGGTCTGTTCTGAGACCAGAGCAGAACAGTCTCGCATATTAAAACTGTACACCGCGTCACATAAAGCCGTCTTCATCTCTCCTAATACTAGGCGAGCATAATCTGAGGTCAGAAGTTTGGGTCTTGCCTGGCAAATTGCGAAGTTTCTTGCTTACATACTCGGCAAATGATTAAATTTTTTCCTTAATTTTTATGCATTATTAACCATTGCTTTAATCATTCCACATTTTCTCTTAAAAGGACACCACAGAGCACATTGTCTCAGATACATGTGGGATGATTATCATTGGTGCAACTAGTGGTCTTGATGTCTTTGCAATATGTTTTTTTTTCTCTTAAGTGAGCTTTTTGGAGAAACATTAAGGGGATTTCTCCTAAGACACTTTTTTAACCAATAATTCTTTGCACGTTTGTATCCCAAATAAATGCCAGAGCACTTCACATATAAGAGGGGATGCTCTCAGTGCATCGCCGAGGTGCAGACCCTACCTGGGTGACCTGCGGCATCCGTTAGCCCCACTTGACAGCACATCAGGTGGAGATAAGATAAGATCACTTTATTAGCCATATACAGCTTCTTGCATTAGGAATTCATCTTTTCGCATACCCCAACCTGCTCTCCATGAGACATACAGACAGGGAGAGAAGCTGGGGGTCAGAGCGCAGGGTCAGCCATTGTACAGCGCCCCTGGAGCAGCTGGGGTTAAGGGCCTTGCTCAGGGGCCCAACGGAGTAGGATTCCTCTGCCGGCCTTGGGATTTGAACTGGCAACCTTCCAGCCACAGGGCGCCTTAGCCACAGTGCCACCCCTCCGCAGTGAAGTGGAAAAACTACGAGACTGATTTGGGAAAGCTGGTGCATTCAGACGCCGTTCAGCTTTTGAGGTCAATTAGGAAGGTTTTGTCCATCAGACCCTACATCTGACGTGCAGAGGGCACACCTGACCCCAACCGCTTCAGGAGCAGGGGCAGTAGAGGTTGAGGGCACATGTTCAGCCTCTGTGATTCATCTTGGCTAGCGGCACATTCTCACACCGTTGTTGTCTTCCAATGCTGTTGAAGCCACAGGCTCTTCACAAATAAGGAAAGAGCTGCTTCAGCCTCCTTTGTCCTTGCCCCGCCCCTCCTGCCACAGGCCCCGAGATCACCGACGAGCTGGTCAAGGTGCTGCGCAAGAGGCTGGACGAGGCCACCCTGGACATCATCACCGTCATGCTCATGAGGAACTGCAAGCTCACCCCCGCTGACGTGGAGGTGAGCCCGACCCCTCGGCCCCCGAGCGCGCGGCTGCTGCCCACCCACCTGCAGTCGCGTTCCCGTCCGCCGCCGAGCCTCCCGTCCAGAAACATGTCCCGCTGACCGCAGTCTGCTTGTCCTTCTGATCTGCCTCCGTGAACTGCCTTTATTCTAAGGGCTTGGGTTTATTTGGAAAGCAGCTTTCTTTTTCTATTGGTTCTCTTTATTTTCCTGATTCTCTCCTCATGATCTCCACTAGATCTCGGCATCTGGGGAGACTGGGAAATGAATAAAATTATTATTACATCAGAATTTTATACGAGGAAAGTGCGTAAATGTAAGAACCTTGTATTCTTGTATAAAGGAGTAAATGGCAAAAGTGCTCAATAAGTGCAGAGGCAGATTTAAAGTAACTCTCCCTTTCAGCCTGTCATTAAATTGATACAACAGGTGAGAGGAATTTCAAGTTCTAAGAAGCTGCAAATGTCGTTTTTCTTTTTTTGAGTGCAGCACATTTTTAACCTTCACATATGTCAGGCCGTACCTTTTTAACTGCGGAGTCTATTGGAGCTGCTTATTATGCCAAAGCTGTTTTTCAAACTTCCCTTGAAAAGATCACATATTGGAGTACATTCAATAAACATTTCTTCTGGTTTCGGAGCTGCACGCAAGTCTATTTTTGGGGGAGACAGAAAAGGCCTTGATATTGCATGGATAGGCATAAAAATCTGAAGTGATAGCGGAAGCTCTTAGTTTTAACTCTTGGGATTTTATTGCCAGTCTTGAGTGTTGTTAGTGGGATGAAAATGAATAATCTAGCTGTACACACATTAAAAGAAAGTCATATAGCCCACTTTTTCTACTTCAGTTTGATAATAACTTTCATAAATCATTAGATTTGAAGTTAGCAAGTCACTTGCTTAAGCATGTACACTGTGGGTTTTGAAGAAAAATCTCTTACATCACTGCGGATGGGCTGTACTTGGGGGAAAAAAAACATTACACAATAGGTAAGGCAGTCCTTAATTGACATTAATCGGGGGATTTGACTGGAAGGAGATGTGAATAATTGAATAAAGGAGATTAGAAATACATTTTGTTCTGTATCAAGCACATCAATATCCAAATTAGGTCCTGACACTGGGATTCTATGCAAGCTAATTATAAAAATGAACGATTATATGCCCCCTATCAAAGAATATCGAGTGTCAAACGGGAACTTTTCTGTTTCCTAGGTACACTGTGATGACAAAGTTAAAACAAGGCAGCAAACTTAAAAATGCATTACAAATACTTATTTACAACCAACGTACACCTGCATCGTTCACTGCTGTTTGTAGATATTTACGACTCTGCCCTGCCTGCTAAAGACAAAAGCAGAGAACATTTCCCAGCAGCTAACTTAACAATACCATTAAGAAAAAAGAGGAAGCCCTCTTATCCTTCTGAGGACTAAATTGCACCATAAGACAGAAGCTTAAACAAATATGAACCCTTTTCCCCATCCAAAATCGTGATTAACTAGCACAATTAAATATTTACTTTTTCCTGTTGGATACCACAAAACAGAAATGAGTGATTCTACAGACATAAAACAACAGCCCCTTCCTTAAGGCTTAGAGCTGGTCTGTTTAGTGCTCAGATTACCTAGATGTTTTGTATTTCCGGTCTTTAAAGGAGGAAAATCACGGTTTCACCTCAGTTCCTTCTATTGCTGCTTTTGTTCCTTCTCCTCTCTCCTGCTGTATTCCCGTTTCGGTATGCTCTTTCTGCGCTGATGTAATCATTTTGGTTTAGGCCTAGCTGTAAATCCCCACCGCTGCTTGGCCTTGTTTACAGCTTCGGGGACATCGGATAAGGACGGCCATGTGGACATGCGGAGGCAGCCCAATATTTCACTTTTAAAGAATGGCGTCCTTTCCTTTAAAATGAAACCCACGCACCTGGATGCAGACGAGGGCGCACGCATGTCCTGGCTGGAGTATCGGGCTGCAGTGCCCTGGGTTGCCGAAGCCTTCTGTTTTCTCATCCCTCTTGTGTGTTTCCAGTTCATTCAGCCCCCTGGCTTCCCTGCCACCGAGGTGATTGAGTTTGCCCTGCCTCCCTACTGCCTGCCTTGGCTCCCAGCTGTGGCTCACTACCTCCGGAAGAACCTGCTCATCTTCTTGCACATCCCCAAGTACACCGACAGCAACATGGTGCACCACTTCAAGGTAGGGCCAGGGTCGTGCTAGTGGTGGGGCGCAAGATGGAGAGCCGAGCTCCTTGATGGCAGTAGTGTGTTGGTGGGGTGAGCAGGGATGTCGTGTGGCAGCACACGTGCAGTATAAATGTATAAATGAAGCCCAGGAGTTCCAGCCAAAGAAGAGACTTGGATCACTTTGGGTCAACCCAGACTTTGAGCAGTTGTGCCTTTAGATCTGTAATTAAATGCAAAGTGTAATTTTAAGTGTTTCTGAGCTCTCTTAATGAATGAGAGACAATTGCAATATTGTTGTACGGTACATGCAGAAGCTGTTTTTCTCCCCAATGTTTAACAGCCAGACTTATGTCTTTTAACTCTTTATGGGCTCGTTTTTTTGTTTCTGTGTGAACAAAGTTAGAAGTGCTCATGTATTGCTGGGCACTCTTCACATCTGGGCTCCGTGCCTGGCTCAGTCGTGCAGACTTATATCGCTGCTCAATGAAAAGCTTTCCTTTCTCCTCTTTGAAGCCCAGATTCAGAGTTCTCAGACTTTTTTGTAGTGGCGGGACTTTCATGTCCGGATAGGCCAGGAAGGGTCAGTGTCCAAATTCTTTGTTTAACAGTCAGTTCTGTTTTTCCAGCACTACTTTCACTTGAGCACTGGTTTGCCCGATTCAGATATCTACCTCTACAACAAGCCGGGGGGTCAGGGAACAGGAGGAAAAGGTAATAATATTTTTACAAACTCAGCACTGCAGTCACACCGTTTCAGTGCAAGGGAATATTATATTTTTTCAAGGCTGATTTGTATTATGACCATAACATTTCCTAAGTAACATACTCTTATTATAAATCAATACCTGAAAATAACATTAAGCAGTCTGGCCTTCTTTATGATTCTCAAACAATTTATAGGAGTTTTCTGGTCATATTTTTACGGAGTACTGAAAAATTGGCACAGGATTTATTTTTGCAGTTTATTTAAAGCAAGGAAAAAATATTTTGCTGACCAATGCAGTTTCTTTTTGTCAATTCTCTGTGCCTTGCGAAAAGGCACAAAAATAAATAAATATCAAGCTGTAGAAAACTGGGATTGTAAACATTTTTTTCTTATTAGAAATAAACTTTGGAGAAAGAATGCAAGTTAGCTATGAAAGTTTTTTCCTCACCTTCAACTTGAAAATGTATCTGACTTTATTAACAAAACTTAATAAAACAGTCTGTTCTTATATGTCCTTCACCTGAAAATGATGGTGTTTAAAATGCTTACTGGCAGACAGTGGTATACCACCGAGTTCATTTTCTGCTATTTAATATAATCATATGAATTAGAATGATTTTGTTGTGGTTAATGTGTTCCGACAGAAACAAAAGCTGTTTTCATCACCATATTTGCAACTGCATTTGGATTTCTTATTTTTCGTTTCATCAGATGTGTTTTTGAGCAACAGGTGATTTATTATTTGTAAACTTGCATTTGATGATTCTTTTCCGACTAGTGTCTTTGTTAACAAACGGGGAATACAGAGTATTAAAACTGCTGGGTACTACTCTTTAATACAATGAACCCTTGTTTCACAGACCTTGCTCTACCAGACTTGGGGTTTAACTGCCAATGTCTGCTAATGGGGAAATGTTGTATGTAAAATCAGAAATATCAGACTTTACCCACAGTAACGGGGAAGTGTATAGATAATAAAACAAGATAAAAATAAATACTACATAAGTTTAAAATTCAGAAATATCTATGGTGTTTTTATAGGAGTAGGTCAGTTGGTCACCATTGCCATTGTTTGATATTTGTATGCTTTTAGCGAATTTTATACAGCGTATTTATGACGCAATTCATAACTATGTATTTACGATAAAAAACACATAGGAGCAATTTTCAGTGACTGGGGTGATTGCAATGGTTGCAAAATTCGGTCAAAAGATCCAGAAAGCATATATATATATAGTATGTCTATATTATTGTCATGCATTAGTGTGAGCTATTTTGAGCTGGAAAAAAAGCCATTTGTCATTTAATGGACATTTGGCAAGAACAGGCACCCCTTCCCCTCATTAGTTGTTTAAAATGGGGGTGTACTGTACAACTACACCAATTTAGTAACATAAGTGAAATCCTGCTTAAAGCTTTCAGCTGACTGAAGCATGAAAATGTATCCTATTTATCGCATGAGTTTAGCTGGGCCTGCTCAACTAGAGGAGTAGTACAACCGGCTGCCAACGTAACTGAGCCGGCGTGCAGAGTGTTCAGTCCTGTCTGCGGGACATTGCACTCAAGAGCAGTGTGAACAGATGCACCGGCAGATCCAGCTACCTGACTCCTTGCTTGCTGACATGTGCCCATGAGTGCCAGAGTGGAGCCTTCATGGTACAATAGCGGCGCTGTGCTTAGAGGGGATTGATTGTGGCGTTTCGTCCAGTTTGAGCTTGCTGTTGGAGTCACGCTAGTGATCTCTAACCCCTTGTCTGTTTGTTTAGCAGTTGAGATGCGTTCCCCATGGGGTGCATCCGTGCTCAGTCAAGTGTCAGCTAAAGGCACCTGCGGTTAATTTTTTTAAATTCCATTCCCATGGGTGGCAAGGATTAAGATGTGGAAGTCTCCCAGTTCACCTGTCTTCCCAGTTAGCTGTTCTTTTGGAGTTCAGATGACTTTTTGTTGGATATGGTCAGTACCTTGTAATCTAGATTTGCTATGGGTTTGTGTCCAGTTCCTGTGAAAAGAAAAGCATGCTCTTCTCCTTTATTTCATGTTTATCTCCCAACATAGCTCTTGGTCTTGGCCCTCTCTGTTTTAAAATCTTAATTTCTGAATAGATGTGCCAAGCCTTTGGAGTTAAAAGTAGTTATTATAGAAGTGACTACTGGATAGATTATTGGTGGTCTGCAGAAAGTGCCCTGTGATGGACTGACATCCCATCCAGGGTGTATCCTGCTCTGAGCCCGTTGCTTGCTGGGATAGGCTCGGGCTCCCCCTCCGCCCTGTACTGGATGAAGCGGTTAGAAAATGGAAGGAAGGACCTCACTTCACTGAAAGATTTCCAGCCACTGTGTTTACGGTTCCAGAATCTGTAGGGCTGCTGAAAAACAAACACACCCACTTCCAGGTGAAGGGGCTACAGTGCTGTTTCTCATGGCAGTACAAGCTGCTTTATGGTCGGTCTGCGAGGAGTCAGCACGGAACCGAAGACGCTCGGCCTTTGAGTCTCCAGTCCTGAATTGTGGCTGGACATGCAGTGTTGAAAGAAATCAACACATTTCGAGATGATTGTGCGTCGTTGAAAGATGGCGCAGAACACCATAAGCCTGAAGACAGCGAGAGGGGGTGGCGCCTTCTTGTGCTTGTAGAATGGTCAATGTTTTTTTTTCTGTTAAGGCGCCAGAGTGCAGAAGTGGAATGCCGAGCTCTTGCCTTGACCTCAGTGTGCCCTATAAAAGGGAAAAAATGGATAACTCTAGCTCCAGTTCAGATTGAACTGTTCTGTCTTCAAAGTAATATATTTCTGACTCTAAAGGATGTCTTCAGGCTTGGGCTGTATTTCAGATGTAGTTGTTTTTCAGTCCTTCTCATCCCTCTGTGTTTCACATAAATGTGTGACATCCATTGTTGATAACCTGCATGCAGTTGTAACTCTTTGGCACCTGGTGCTTAGCTGCCTTGTGGATGTTCTTTTGTTGACATAGGTACCATGTCGGAGCTCGTACAACATCTCTTCCCACCCTCCCAGTTCCAAGGTATCGCTTGTAATTTCCCCCTTCAGACTGACTCCCTTCCTGGGGCTTTGTGTGCCTGATTTCTTGGTTATTTTTGGTTCTTTGCTCAGCTTGTGAAGTGGGCTTCTTCCTTTCTCTTCATTTGCTTGTTTTATTATCACTATGGTTTTTATTTCAGTTCACTTGTGTTGCTGTTTAAAGTCGATGAGACCTGGGAGCTGCGTTTGTTTGTATGTCTTTTTACTTTGCATGGGGTCAAGCATTTTTCAGGTGCATGCTGACCAACTGGTTTGATTATATTTTTTTGTAATGTAATGGGCGATTGAAGAATACAAAGCGATGAGTATAATTGTGAAAATAACATGTTTTTAAGTTACTAGGGCAACATTTAGGAAAACTTTTAAAGATATGATGGAATTGAAGCGACTTATACACTCTTAACTCGGGAAAAAGCAGAAATTAATTCCCAGCTGAAAAAGTAAGAGACAAACTAGCCTGAAGACGATCACCTACATGTGTTTTCAGCTTGGACATAACCTCTGCTTGTTCGCTCGCAGCCTGCACACTGTTGCAGCTGCCTGCTCGAACGTCCTCACTGGGTCCTTCCGTCAACATGGTTGTCCAGCAGGGTGTAGTGATACTTACCCGTGAAGACCTGGGAGCCATGTCTGTGAGGCAAAAAGGCTTGCACATCTTTTAAAATGAATTATGGTACTTAGAGCATCAATAAATAAAATAAGTATCTGCAAGGCAAAAATAATTTCTATTAAAGTCCCGTGTGAATGTTGCCCTACAACACCCTATGGTTATGTGCGCCGTGGTGTCTGTCAGCAGCTTTCCTGAAGGAGGTGCAGATGGACCTGGGCGTGGAAGGGGGTTTTGCTTACTATGTTTCTCACTGGATGACTGAGGCTATTGTCTGGAAATTGAACACCATCAGAACTTAAGCTACCTTGCCTGATGTGCACCACTGGGGCCAGTTCCCATAATCACAGAGCCCATTGCACTGGCTGACACGCTCAACAGACCTGAACAGGTTGTTGGAATAAGCCACCTAGAGAATCCAGTTATCAGGAGCTTACCTGAGGTCAGGGCCCAGTCAGCCCTTCAAGCCTTAAAGGGTTCTGACTCACAAAGCTCTTTGTAATGGGTGACGGTTTCGCCAGAAAGACCCAGAGTCCACTTCGGGTTTGTGAATACACCGAAGCCTAGTCTTGCCTGATTTTGCGGCTTTGAAGAAGAACATTTCTGTTCTGACATCATGAAATACAAATGCGCCGCCTAGCAGTGTGAGGGTTTGCAGCTGTGTGGTGAAGCTGCCCTACTGATTTATTTTAGGTTATGTTGCGAGATGATCTTTTTTTAAACTTTAAGAACCCCTTCACATTTTTTATTCAGACACCGGCATTCATCAACTACCGTGCAATCCATCTGTTGGTTAACGTTGCACATTAATGCCTATAGTGGGATTTAGGCAAATAAGGGCTTTCTGATTTGTTATTAATCTATTTAACTAAAATGTCTAAGGTGGTTGCTGAAGTGTGGGACGTAGAGGTGGACAAGATTTATCTTTTCTGAAAGAACCGAGAAAAAGAACTCTTAACCTGCCAGGCTTAACTTATGTATTGAAATATTTTATCTATTTACATTGCAAGTATTTGAAGGTGTACCTGCCAAGTATTCAGTAATCCCACTGAGACAGTCTTGGCAATGGAAAAGAACAAACTGTCTTAAAAAACATTGCCCCCATGTGTAGATTTTAATGCGATTTTTAATTGTTTTGAGATAATTGACCACAATTTTATGCTGACTGCAAATATACAGATCAGTCCTGAAGATAATATTGACTAAGTGGCTGCTGGTGTTCAGAAATGCAGTGAGTGAACATAAAAATAAAATTATCAATTTTTACCAGGTGTGAAATAGGGCTGGTATCTGTCGTTACTTAATTCTGTTTTCACTTCAATAACAGGATTGTTAAGACTTCAGGAGTTTAAAGTTAATTATTACTGGAATTAACTAAAATAAAAAGTGTAATTTTTACACTAAAGGACAATGTTTGATGTTAAATAACCTTCTGAAATAACTATTATTTTCATCTGCATTTTTAAAGTAGTTTTGAAAAATGGAACTACATTGTATAACGGACTTCGATAATATTGATATAGACCTGGGAAACGCTGTGTTACAGCAGGCTGTGGAAAACAAAGGACTTTTACAGCAAGACGTCTGAAGACTATTTTTATTTTTAAATGCAAGGTCAGTTCTTCTGTGATGAGCACAGAGGAAATACATGTGGTTGCTGGTAGTGATAGCTGGATTTGAGCCATTTTCCAAGAATTCCAAGCAGTTTATATCAGAAAAAAAGACCCTAGTAGGCATTAAAAATATCACCATCACACATCCTTCCTGCGTTCTCTGATAATCCTCTCGCTGGCTCTGCCTCGCTCTCTCTCCTCTAGGTATAGCCTGTATCGCCCTGTCCTTCGTCGACGCTCAAGGCTGCCCCCTGCAGGTTTCGGCGATGGAGTGCGCCGAGCCACCCAGGGCAGACTGCGCCGCTATCCCCCTGCAGCAGGACCAGTTCGAATCCCTCACCACAGTCGGCCCGGTGGATCCGGACAGCCTGGAGAAAGGTAGAGGGATGAGCGTGCACACTGATCGCAATTTACATCATATCATTTGATTGGAAAGTGAACCCATTAGAGTCAGGATCCTGATGAAAAGCATGCTAAATCACCTGAGTGTTGCCTCAGTCGCCCATTAAATACAGCAATTAGGAGCGATCATTCTGTTTCTGACATTATTTGTCCCTGCATGTATTTTTAGCAGGATGTGGTGCTAATTACAATCCATCAAACAAACACCCCGTCACCGTCACCATTCCTGACTCCGGGTGTGACTGTGTTTTTATGGTTATTATTAGGGCCCATCAATTTCCACTGTCTGCATATAGTGAGTGTTTTATCTGTGGCATGTTTTAATTAAAGGTGCATTAGTTAATGCTGTTTTTAAAATGGTTTTACCTAACAGTGATGCATAGTAGTAATCGCATGTTAAAAAAAAAACCCAATTAGCTAATTTATAAAAAGGAATTTATTTTGACAAGAGGGATAAAGTATACGGATAATAAAAATACTTTATCTAGTATTATGAAGAAAAAAAACGGAATTCCTGTCCATACGGGACAGCTTTTGGGTACAGAAGAATTGCCCAAGTAGTGCTGTTGTAGGCAGTTAGTCGTGGTTACTGTGTATAGGGTTTCATATGACATGTTCAAGGTTTGTTTTGGCCGTAAAAAGCGTTAGAAACAACAGGGTATTAGACCCATCTAAGCCGTTAATTAGTTAGTAGTTAATCAATCCAAGTATCTCACCCAGCTGTTTCTTGAAAGAAGCCAGGGTATCAAATCACCCACATGGCCAGGTGACTTGTTCCACACGCCCACAGCCCTTTGGGTAAATAAGTGCCTCCTGTTCTGGGTTTTAAATATACTTCCATGTGGTTTTCACTGGGTTGTCTTGGGTATTGCCTTCGTGGATTTTGAATACTTATGTTAGGTCCCCTCAAAGTCTTCTCTGTTCCGGATTACAGACGTTCAGTTGCTTCTGCCTGTCAGTGCAGGGCTTTCCCTTAAACCCTGTCTGCTCTTCTCAGGACCGAATCCAGGGCAATGTCTTTTCTATACCATGGCGACCAAAATTGTGCGCTGTATTCTAACTGAGGCCTTAGCAGCGTGTCACACAATGTTAAATTTGTTGTTTTCGACCACGTGTCCTAACGTGCCGTCTCCCTTTTGACTTGCTCCCCCCGGAAGGCACGCAGACGCGAGTGAGATTCGATATCTGGGAGCAGGGGAACGTCAGCCCCCTCCAGCTCACCGACAAGCTGCGGGGCGCCCTGCGCCACGCCCTCTGTGACGTCATCATGGAGTTCAGGGTGCTGCCCCACGCCCTGTGCGTGGAGCCGTTCTGCCCACTGGCAGCTCCAGGCCCCAGGGACTGCACGAACGGTGAGGGCGCTGTGTGTGGGGCTGCTTCATGCCTTACCCACGCTGTGTAACATGCAGAGGATGGAATGTCATTACCATGTGTATAATCTTTGTTTTTTTTTCCTGTGTGACTGTGAAGCATGCAAATACGATGGCACCTTTTTTTTACAAATGAATTAATTGTTTGTCAAGTAAATGAACTAGCGTCCAGTTACGTGCCAGGTCTGCATACTGTGTATTATATATATTTATATGTTGTATACTACACCGCTTAGTAATGCTAACAGTAGGAATGCAGGCTGGCAGGGCACAGCTTTGCGAAACTGGGTTGCTTTGCAAAATGTAATCTATACAAAATACCGAGGCTTTGAAACAGATCTCCCCAAGCTGTTGATAAAGCCTGTTGGACCCCTCTGAGCAACAGTCCAGCGCTCTCCTCTTCATGCCTGCTTCCTGCAGGCCATCTACACCAGCAGCATCCAGAGAGCAGCGCCTCACCCAGGCAGGCTGCCGGCTCTGGCAGCAGCAGGACCAGTCCCAGTCCCATTACCTTAATCCCAGCATCCAGCACCAGTCCCAGCCCTGGGACCAGCACGCCCGAGTCTACCACGCCCACCAGCAAGACTCCGCGCCGGAGCTTCTGGGAAATCCTGGTGAGTCTCCGAGACGCTCTGTTTGTGGGGCCACTTTGCTTCTTCCTTTCTATTCCCTTAGCATCCTTTTTAGGAATTTTTGGAATTCCTTAGAGCAGATGACTCGTCTGGGCTGGAGTTGAGTTCTGATTTTTGCCGCGCATCTCCGTTGCTTTTGATGGGGTCTGTGTGTGGGGGGGGGGGAACCCCTCGGAGCTGACAGGGCAGTGACTGGCTGTACCCCCGCCTTTGTCCCGCAGAGCAAGCCGGACCCCTCGGAGCTGGGCAGCCCCAAGACGACGGACGACATCGTGCACGAGCGAGGGGAGGACAGCCGGGCGGCGCGCCGGAGGCACAAGACGGAGAACGTGAAGCCACCCTGGAACGCGGAGAGGGCCGCCGCCGCCGAGCTGGAGCAAGCGCAGAGGCAAGCAGCCAGCTCCACGAAAATAAACATTGGGAAAGGGGCAGCAGTGGAGGGACGGCACATTTTAAGGCTGTTCTGTAGAAAAATGTGTAGGCAAAACTTCAGGATGTTCCTGTTGTTTTGAATAACTCGTTTCAGATTTTAAGGATGCTTCATGAGCATGGCCCCAGACATTACGCAGGCAGCATTGTTTGTCAGAATGCAATTCTGCTCTGTAATAATATTTGCGGTAATGGCCTGTTTTTTTTTTTTATTTCTGAGTTACGCAGCTGTAATGTGTCCATCAGTGCTGAGAAAAATACCCTTTGGAAAATCTAAAATGCCCACAAGGCATAGTTTAAGAACATGAATACAAACCTGCTTTCTCTGTGTCTTGTTTTTCCTCTTTATGGGAATTTATCATTTTTATTGTGCACCTTTTTCACATATTGCAGACTGAAAAACGTATTTGTTTTGACGGGGCGCGATGTCATTCTTTCTCGAGTAACATCTCGTGTTTGGAAATTGGTTGCACGGCCTGGGGCGCAGAACCGCTGAAGGCCAAGAGAAGTCACTACAACCGCTCGTAAAAGCTTTTAAGACAGTTCGACCTGACCTGTGCCTTTTGTCCCATCAGAGGACCCAAGTGCCCTGGCCGAGCGCTGCAATGCAAATTAACCAAAGCAAACAGAAGATCAATGTAATCTTTGAGCCACAGCAGTGACTTAACGTCCGGATGACGCTCCCACTTGGGACCACACACTGGGGATTGTCACGGATCTCCGTTTGGTCTTGCAGAAAGTACGTAACACAGCTGCAGGAGGGAGACGTGGGCACCCTGCACCCCCTGTTCCAGGACACCTGCCAGCAGTGGGTCACCTTCATGGCGAAACTAGGTAAATGCTTCACAGCCACCTGCAGAGCATCTGAGCATGAGAGCATGAGACTAGCATTACCCCAAGTTCCCCGTCTACCTGGTGTCTCTGCTTCATCAAGGTTAATTTTTTCCTGCATTTCTTCTGCAAAAGTAGGTTTAGTCTTCTTATACCACACCACGGCACTCACTGCTCTATTTCCCAGATTTATATATCTGAAGAGGGTGGATGTGCAATGCATTTTTCTTGCTTTCTGTTTTTACATGCAGAAGCTAAATGGAAACTTTATGCAAGAGTGTTGTCTCTTCTGTCTGAAAGCGTCTCTCGTTTTGTCCTGTTGCTCCCACTGACAGGGTGCCCTTCCATCCAGCACTGCTCAGCCGAGATCACCTCCCACTTCCTGCTGCCCTCCATCCTGACGGAGATTGTCAACCTGGTCAGCTCTTTGGCCTGTGACACTACGGTGAAGGTGTTCGAGAGAGTCAGGTGTGTCGCTCTGTCTCCTCTCTCTCAGCCGATTGCTGCACAGTGCGCCGTCCTGCGCGTGCAGCCTTCTTAAACGAAGTTCAGAAATCAAAAGGAAATATATAAAATACATCAAGATATTTTTACATGAGAATAATTTCAGTATTGCGCGATGTGCTCTCTCCACTTTGCTGTTAAAGTCTCTTTCCTTCAACTATTAAACAGAAACCCATTAGGGATATCTTAGAATTCCCCCGTGGGAGTTAATGTTTCGCTTCTCTGTTAGAATTCTGTTTGCTAAGTGCTGTGCAGTCTTGGAGCAGCCGAGAGGGAGGGTGTTCAGGTCGCAGTGTCTCTGACGGCGACCAGGCGCGTTGCGCTCTGGAGCGCGCTGATATGTGCAGTTTAGTGCAGGGGATTGAGTCCTTCTGTCAGTTTCACTCTGCACAGGAGGAGGCTCAGCTCTGAGCAAGCAGAAGAGGTAATCTGGATTTGAAAACCGTAATTGGTACATCTTGAAGCACACTGAGCTGGGATAAAGGCTCCTGGGTGTCACACTTTGTGTGCTGCTTATTACAGCTCAGAGCTGCATGATGATTCATTCCTTATCATACGGGAGGCTGATGGGGGGTGGATTGGGTTTGAACTGTGTGTTTAATCTCTTCCATATACTGCATATGTGCCCTGTTAATGAGATCCTTTCTGAAGCCTGTACCACTGTGAGGCCAGTGCAGTCTGGCGACTGCAGCAAAAGAACAAGCTGACTGCTTCTTTCACATATCAGATCTCCAAAGTAACTAAGAATAACAGTAAGCGTTGCTTTTGAAGAGGGGGCACAGAACGAATGGCCTCACAGAATTTTCACATGGTAATTTGTTCAATAAATTGTAATGAAGAATTTTGCCCGAGCAAATTTGACTAAACACTGTCCTTCGAGATGTGTTTTTCCAGCTCATTACAGTTCAGGTCTTCATAGACATTAGTCTGTACGATAGGTGGTGCTGTTGTTTTCCTATTCCTGTCAGAAGTCTTTGGAGCTCGTAAAGAATGGCAGAGGTATATCCTTCACTCACGCCAACTTCCTGTGCTGTCTTGGTTTCCCAGCTGCCCCCAGGGCGTGTCCTTTGTGCCCCTGTCACTCGGCCATCAGCCCAGCACCCCTCCTGCAACAGCCAGGCACGTCATCCTCATCGGGCGCAACTTCCAGCAGTGGCACTGGAGCGCAGAGCAAGGTGGGTTCTGTCGCCAGCAGCGTGCTGCTCTACCCCGTCCGCTTCAGAAGCCCAGAGCTCAGGACCGGCAGCAGGTGGCGGCACACGCTTCCTTCTGCTCATGGTCTGCGTGCTGTGCTATACTTTGCATAGTGTATACTTCATAATAATAACTCCAGTCAAAGCGCTTTACAGGTAATGGGGATCCCCTCCACCACCACCTGTGTGCAGCCCCACCTGGATGGTGCGACGGCAGCCGTGGTGCGCCAGTCCACTCCCCACACACCAGCTCTCAGTGGGGAGGAGAGCAGAGTGATGAAGCCAGTTCAGAGATTGAGATTATTAGGAGGCCAGATTATTAGGAGGATTATAATTTGGCCAGGATGCCGGGGTAACGCCCCTACTCTTTTCAAGAAACGCCCTGGGATTTTTAATGACCACAGACACTCAGGACCTCAGTTTTACATCTCATCCGAAGGATGGCGCCTTTTTACAGTCTAGTGTCCCCGTCACTATACTGGGGCGTTAGGACCCACACAGACCACAGGGTGAGCGCCCCCTACTGGCCCCACTGACACCTCTTCCAGCAGCAACCTTAGTTTTTCCCAGGAGTCCCCCATCCAGGTCCTGACCAGGCTCGCACCTGCTGAGCTCCAGTGGTTTGCCAGTTGTGAGTTTCAGGGTGATATACTGCAGCTGCTCCTATGTTACTTATTCTCCAGTAACATACTTTTTTGCTTCGCTGAATTTGACCTGTCTGCTGCAAGCAAATCCTCTTCTCTTGTGATTTCTGTAAACTTCTTAAACCCTTTTTGTTTGCTTATTTTTAATTTTTCAGTGTATACGGATGTTGTTTTTTATTTTAATTGTGTGCTTTTCAGTATATACCAGTGGGGAGAGGCTGTGTTGTTATTTTCCTGACGATTACACTTACCAATTTAGAAAAAAAGGGAAAATCATGTTATTCATTTTTAGAGAATGTGAAGTCTGAGCAAAACTGTCAGTCATTGTAATGTTAAAAAGGTGACAGTTGCATGAGATGTTTAGTTTTTGCTAGTCTTTATTTCCTCTCTGTGGCACAATACAGTATTAGCTCATTGTTTCATCCTTTCTGTGTTTGAAGCACAGCTGAACTCTGCTTCCATATCTGCCTTCAGCTCTCTTTGAAAAAAAATGATCCTCTCCCCTTGCAACTCTTGTGGTTATATTCAAAAGGAAAATGATGTGCACACTCAGGCAGAGAATTAAAGGACATTATAGAGTTTTTGTTTAAATCCTTAATATCTCATTATTTTAGACATCAAAACCGTTGCATAAACAAACAAGGCATGATAGGGTTTCTCTGCAAATGGTGTCCAAAAAAATACAGTTGCAAGTGTAAGAAATTCATGGAAAATATTCTTCCAGTTTTTTTAATCCAGAAATCACCATCGTCTGTTGTTGCATCATCTAACAGACTTTCCAGGTTTTGCCTTATCTGTAATAAACACAAGTTTGTAGAGTGACGTTTCAGGATTGGGGCTTGCCGGGGCTGAAAAGGCAGCATTGAGTCGTGTTCAGATCAGAGTACTGTGGAGCTCTAGGTGTGGGTTGGGGTCAGTCTCCAGTCTCCCATTTCAGTGACGGCTGGGCTCTGAATGGGAATCGCTGGGTGAGGTGCCCACACAAGTTGTACTGTACTTCTTGTGCTTCATACATAGAGGGCAACTTTCGGCTTTTCCAGCCGGCAGCCGGAGGGAATTGGGACAGCCGGCTGAGCAGTGCTCTTGCGAGGGTTGTTTCACTGCAAAACATCTGCTCCCCCCGTTATTCCGTTTTGACAGAGATGCATTATGTGCACAGCAGAGAGGAGATAGATGGGTGATTCAAGAAGGCTGGGGACCAGAGGTACAGTAGAGACTTTCCAACGTTAGGTTTATCTCTTAATATGACTGTTGAAACTTCAAATGTGAGATGAGATCGTTTGCATTTAATTCATGCATTTTCAGTCTGAGTGTACCTTGTGCACCAGTCATTGATAGAGCTAAGACAATCTTTTTATTATTTGAAGCCATTTTTTCGGGAGTATTTTATAAACTATGTTATTTGCACATTGTATGAGAATTGTATAACACCTAGTTTGTCACAACACCATATGCTGTCAGTGAATTGAATTGTCCTTATATTATTAAGGAGATATCAGAAACACTAGATAATTCTCCAGACACTACTTATTGGTGGAACTATAGACTTAAGAAAACAAATGATGTTATTCATAGGCTGTGACTACCAATTTACTGGAAAATTTGTAATCCAGTGTCCACCCATATAAAGGGCACCAAATCTAAACAAAGTAATTCCAGACCAATAAGTCTTACTTTTATCACTGCGGTGTTAGGGATGCAAAACTTGACAGTCATCTGTATGTGATTCTACACATACAGATGTACAGACAGCATGGTTTTAAAAATGTAGGATTCTCATTGCATATCTTCTAGGAATTCAGATCTTTCAGCAAGTAACATCAATAATGGATACAAACAGAGTGTATGATATGGTGTTTTTAGATTTTCAAAAGCCTTTTGATAAAGTTACTTATAAAAGATAAATGCACAAATTGCAGCTAGTAGAAATTCAAGAAAATACACGTGTTTGACTTGAGAAATGCTGAGTGGACAGAAAATGGAGTGTATAGGTCAAGGGATTGATTAGTGAAGTACCACAGGGGACTGTATGAGGACCACTGCTGCTCTTAATGTGCCTTCTTGATCTAGATTTTGGTATAGTTAGCAAACTAGTAACGTTTACAGATACTAAGATAAGATGATCTGCGAGCACTGTTGAAACTGCAAAAAATCCAGAATGACAGATTTTAAGATTTTGAAAAAAATGGAAATGAAGGGGAAATGCCTTTATGATTCTGGCCTAATGTTGTGTGAAAGACCTGAATCCTGCATAAAGGCAGTGGACGTCTCAGAACTGCTGCTGATTGGTCTGCAGTGTCTTCGGACTGCTGCATGTTTTTTAAAGTAGTACAGTTCTGTTAAAGAAACTATCAAATAAAACCATGAAGATTGAGGGGGTGATGTGCCATCAAGCCCTAACTTTGGCAAAAGACAAGAAGGGCGTCCAGTCTTAACCCCTGTAACTTTATAAAAAGTAAAATAAAGTGGTGATGTAGTGCAGAAATGCTTCCTTAAAAGGTATTCCTTGCCGTACAACAACATTTACAGGCAGTCATGATTATAACCTGCAGTTCTGCATTTCTGTCTCTTCTGTCTACTAGTTTCTAGTATTTTGATTGATTTTACATCATTATAACATTACTTATGGGAACATGCCTATTTAGAAGGATGCATTGCACTGAACTGGTAATTCAAGGAAGAGCACGCATTATGAAGAGTACGAGCTGTCTTCTGCCCTCTGACTGCTGTCTCTCTCCTCCAGCTCCCAGAGGATTCCAGAGGTTTGAGGCTGTGGAGCAGAGTGAGCTGTCCGGGAAAGTACCCGCCCCTCGGCAGAAATTCCTGATCATCCACATCCAAGACAAGAAGGTGAGCACAGGAAGCTGATAGGGGGCACGGTGGCTTTGCGGCTGTGTTTCTTTGCTGCTGATTTCTGAAGGTTAAAATCCATTTCACAGCTGGCTGAATGACGAGAGGAAGTTTAACAGTTTTTAGGTTCTTTTTTGGTTGAAAATATATAAGATTGAGTCCAACTGAATGGGTGGTTTGAGCAATGGGACAGGTTTTAGCTGTTTGGGGGGATTTTATTATTCATCTGTTTTTATTGAGCCCAGTCTTTCTTGTGAGTTTATGATGGGAATAAACTGGAATGTGCAGCTGGAATGTTTGGGACCAGAACCAGGAATACAAACACCTAACACTGCCAGATTTATCCAGTCTAAAATGAACAGTTTTCACAGAGGTACCAGCTGTTAGAGTTATAGGAGAAACTAACTTGGGATGGTTAACTGAAACTAATTTCGTTTTGATTTTTGAACATATTTTTCAAATCTTCCAGACATAATCACTCCACGCTAGTTTCAAGGGCCCAAGGATCAGATTCAGTGAAATAACAGAGGTTATGTTCCTCCACTGAATTTTATACTGTTGGGGAGCCACGATTTAGAAAAAGTGGCGTCTTTTGGTTTGGACAGAACGAAGGACACGGTTTTTATTCCTGCCCGAGCTGTCCGAGCCCAGCCACTGGCCACAGCTGTCTGAACTGGGTGGGCTCGGGTAGACTTGACAATAGTCAATTCCAAATTCCTGGTGTATAAAACAGAAAGTTGGTTACCTCCAACTTTATTAAGAAAATGGGACTGACAGTGGGGAAACGAGGAGACCAGCTCCAGGATTTTTTGTCTGCAGGTCTGGGGGCCATTTTTAGGGAACTGCTGATGACCATGTAAGAAACATGTTTCCCTTTCTCTGCCTCCTCAGGTCTGCAGCTCTCAGGAGCCGGGGATGAATTAAGAGATAATAATTATAGTTTTGTATTCGCGGCAACCTCCCTGCATTTTGTTAGCAGCACGGTATGGAAAAATAACGAGTGGTTATAAAACAGAATCCATTTATAGTCACTTGCAATCCATGAAGCGGCAAGATTTACAGCTCCTCGCAATCAGAGCCCAGGCTGAAGTGCACCTCATTTCCAGCTCGTTCCCGGCTGGGATCAGATTTGAAAAATGAAATCATTGTGGCAGAAATGAAAATAGAGGATGCTGGCTGAGGCGTAATTTGGTATATTTAAAAATCCTTAGATTGCAAAAGCATGTGAAGTGCCTTTCCACGCTCACGATGACTCATTTTACCTAAGCCACCCTGTGCTCATTTAGATGCCAGAAAGTAATGATGCTTGAACTGCAAAAAATAAAAAGAACATGCATTATAATGCTTCATAAAGGGGGTGATGTGCTTGCTTTAGTCACAGTGTCATGTATATAACCGTAAATCTGTCTTGAATGTTTTTAGCAGCTCGGCTCAAGAAATTCCCTGTGTGCATTTGGGTGACACTTGACTTGACGTCTTGCCTGTGTTCTGAATATCGGAGAAAAAATGGTGTTGCAGGTCTTGAAAGAAACCACTTAAGGAGAACAGTGTGCCTGCAAACTCTCTCGTCTCGTCTTGATCAAAACCGTCGCCCGAAACGCGTGTCGAGAGTTTCAAGGGCTGTCGGCGCTCTGTCCCGTGCAGGTGACCCTCTACACCTATAACTGGCCGGCTGACCTCGGAGCCTCCCTGGGCCGCGGCCTGACCCGCCTGGTGCACTGGCAGAACGCGCGCTCCCACGTGGTGCACTGCCTGCTCAGCCAGAAGATGGGCCTCTTTCACCACTACTGCTTCGCCGACAGCCCCGCCCACGACGACCTCAAACAGGTGAGCCCTGACCCCTGACCCAGCCCTCCCTGCGCCTCCGCGGCCCAAAACCCAGGGCCTTTGTTTCTGCTTCTTGGTCCGGGTTAGGAAAAAAATAACACGACTTGAGCCATTTTCCTACTAGCTCTCGCAGAATATGGAAATATTCAATCCTAAACGTATTATTTCTTACCTTAAATTTCCATTGCTTTCGTTTCCTGAATCATTTGTTTACCGTTAAGTTATTCATGACTGAATTGCTGCTTTATTGTGGACTTGATATTTTGAGAGCAGTTGCGGTGTATTAAAATCAAAAGCATGAAGTATTAGCCTAATTACTACTAATTTACTCATTTTTCTTTTGCCGATTACTTTTTTCCCTAAAGTTTTATCTTACATTCGTGCCCATTTTTACAACTGTGGGTATTCTGCTGGGTAACATGGGTGCAGTAACTTGTCCAGTGGTACAACAGCATTGTCCCCCCTGGGATTCGAACCTGTGACTTTCCATTTATGAGCACAGAAGCCCAGGTAGAGCTGTCTTCCTCCACACTTCCCATGAGCACTGTGGAGCAGGGCCCTGCACTCCAGACTGAAGGGTCCCGTGTTCATATCCAGGGTCTTACAAGCCCACTCGGCTTGCTCAGGTAAAATACAGTGTAAAATTGGTCTGCAGTTCATCATTGAATAGGATTAGAAATAAAAACAAAAATGATGAGTTGTAAAAGGCAATCCACCTGACTGCGTAAACAAGCGTGAAGGATTTTAAGTGGGGAGCTGTGTCAGCGTGTGTTCGTATTCAAAGCAACAAGCAGAGCTTGACAAAAATAAAATAATTGGCAGCATTTTCCTAGTTAGTGTTGTAAAAATCTAAAACACATATTAAGTTTGTGATGTTTGATTAGGGTGAAATGAGGCGGTTTCAGCCCTTCGTTAGAGAAGGTTCCTTCTGTAGAGTTAGACTTCCTCAGACTGCACCACCCCTGGGCTGTAATGAATAGCTGGCGTCCTCCTGTAGTGGGAACAGCTGGGAACTAATTTGCATTCTGCATTTTCCCCCATTAGGTGACGGCAGTGTTTTTGAGTCAGAGCACTTTTGCAAAGGCCCTTTAACAAGGCTGTTTGGACTAATCCTTTGTGGTTAAACAGCTGGGAATCACTTCAGAGAATTTTGCATATATAAATCCTGTTAAGAGAGTTGCCTCCCGCGGCCATGATTTTTTCATCAAGAAAAGATTTCAGTCTGGAGCCTCTGAGAAATCTTTAAGGAGCTGAACTTAAAATGCCAAGTTGCAATAAGGTCAGATACTGTCTCCTGACTAAGATGTCATTGCTTCAGTCTTTCATCCTGAAATAGAAGTTATTAAACGTGGTTTTGCATCCACTTAGACTTGAAAACCGTGGAAAAAAGTGAGTTGTTGTCAAGCCCTGTTGTTAATTTAAAAATCAAAATGTGGCTCCTTGGGCAAATCGACCCTTTCAACAGTTTTTTTTTTTTTACCCTGAACTTTGAAGTAACTCCTACAGGGGCCTCAGCAACTGTACTGCAACTGCAGCGCAGTGCGATTTGAGAAATAAAAAGATCTGAGCATGCAAGTTCGAACTCGAGGTACCAAAGCCAGAGAACTCCTGCGAAGGTTTTTGAAAAGCCCAGGGCACCTGCCATACCATGCCAGGATATCATATGGTGCGTAAACTCGAGTATTAACTAGGTGGTACTAAAAGCTCTTGTGTAAAGAGAAAAATCTAGCCGGAAGCCATCCAGATGTTTCTGTTTACAGAACAATATGTACAGTAGGTGGGAGACAATGATAACAGTAAAAACAGTTTCCGTTTGATCAGAATGCCTCAGTGCTTTACTTTGCTGGTGCGCTCATGCACGGGGGCTTTTTATCCTCTCGTGATCTCCGTGGTCGCGGAGGTGCAAGGGCCAGAAACGAAGGGCAAAGATGAGACGCCCCCCCCCTTCGCCAGATGAGGCGAGACGGGCCACGCCGTGGCCTCCTGGGAGATCCGAAAAGGCCACCGCGTCCCGGTGCGCTCCACATCCACAGGAACAGATGGCGTGTCTACCGAAGTGTGTCAGATTAGAGGCAGGCGGTGTCATATTCGAAGAAAGCGGAGGGAGAAGAGCCGCTCTCTAGGGAGCAGGGTGTCTGGGGAGCAGCGAGAGGGCAGCGGCCTGCGGCTCACCCGGTGGCGAGAGTGTCTGTGTGGGGGGGCTGACTCTCCCCAGGGGTCCTCCGACGCTCCGCGATGAAGCGCTGGTGACAGGCAGCTGTTGAGCGCCTCTGGGGCCTGTTAGAAACACCGGCTTACCGACCAGCGCCGGAAAAACCGCCACGTGACGGCGCTGAATGCACCGCTGTTCGTGTTTCAGATCCTGCCGGGCAGCGTTTTTTTATTTTTGCTCTGGTTTTCGATGTCTTGTCTGCTCTTAAAGCGATAGTTTGCAACTCCTGGCTTCTCTTGACCCTGTCTTGTTAATTCAGATCAAGCCGTGTGTGTTGGCAGTTATTTTAGTTATTTGACATTATTTACCTGGCCCGTTGCTGGTTATCTATAAAATTCTGTTTGATTGAGGAGGCAGAGTGTAGCACAGTAAAAGTTTTGCTTCTCTTATCTTTCCTCCCCCTGTTTTTCCCTGTGAGTATCGATTGGAGCTGGGATTAAAAAAAACTGTTCTGTGAGAGGAGTGAAAATCACTATAAGAGCAATGCATGATTTGTTGGCAGATGCATGGAGGTTCATCCATCAAATTGGAGACCACTGTCAAAACTTCCACAGAAGGACATGCCCTCCTCACTGAGTCTTGCCAGAGGCTTCAGACCTTCTCCAAACATGCAGCAGTTCTCTTAACCCAGTTTCCAAACACTTCCTCTGCCTTGATCCCTCTGCCGAAGACAGTGTGCGTGCTGATTTACACTTTAGGACTGGGGTTAAAAGAGCCATTTCGCCTGCAGAGGGGAATGTCATTGCAAAACTAAGACATAAAGAAAATATTTTCTTCTCCTCTCTCGCACTCGCTTTTTAATCATTAACTCGGCAGGGATGTGGACAGAAGGCAGACCTAACGCAGCAGAAAGTTTGCCCGCACAGCAGAGCAGCTGTAGCAGCTCTGAATCCAAATCCAGACACCAGTAAAATCTCCATCCTTCTCCTGTGGATTTTACCGCAGTGAAACCAGTGTGGTAGGGTTTTCCGATCCTGCTTGAGATCTGGCTTACTGAGCAACTTGTAGTAAGCAAATTGCCAGACTGTTTGCTAAGTGCCAGCCCGTTCTAAAACAAAAGACCTGTAAAGCATTTTCCTCCCATCCTTATGTATACCAAATCCCTCCCATACTTAGCCTTTCCTTTGATAAAGACCTACCAAATGATTAAGTGCTCATTTCTACAGAAATTAATGCGTTTGTGCAGATGTAATAGTTACTGGTAATGGTCTGACTTGAAATCAAAAGATCGAGGGCCTGACTCCCCTCTGAGGAAAGTCGGAGATTGACAAATTTGCACAAACGCGAGTATGGGTACATACCGAAGAAGGCCCTGCGGCCCATCTGGCGTGTCTGGTAGTTAGTAGTTTCTTGATCCATGGGTCTCATCCACTTAAGGGAAGCTAAAGTATGGGCTCCAGCCACAAGGCCGGGTGGCTTGATCCATCGTCCCACAGCCCTTTCTTTGGGTAAGGAAGGGGCCTCCTGTTCGGAGTTTTTCACGCATGTCCGTGTAGTTTGCACCTGTGCCTCGAGCCAGGCTTTGCTCAGCGCTGCTGTTTCCGTGCAGGAGCCCAATCCGTTCCTCAACCCGACGATGGAGGCCGATGCCCTTCTCCGCAGCCCCGTTCCCCCTCCCAGCAAGGACCAGGGCAAGCTGGCCGGCGGTCTGGGCCGCGGCCTGGCCGCGCTGCACTTCCCCCCCGAGCTGGTGCCGTTCGATGAGGCTCTCAGGGACGTCGGCGTGGGGCGGCCCGTCTCGAGCGCGCAGGACGCGGCGGGGAGCGCGGACATCGTGGCCAGGCAGGGGGCGCAGCTGCTGGAGGTCAAGGCCATGGAGCGCCGGGGTGAGCACTGGTGTCGTCGCTGCTGCAGACTTGCAGATGCGTGTTGCTCTCTCTGCAAACGCTCGGCGGCTCCTCTGGCTGCTGTCTGCTCTGGGACCGTCATGCAAAATACCAGATGAGGAGATGAAACAAGACCGAAATCCCCATTGCTGTTAGTCATTAGTATTCCCTTCTGGGATTCTTTAGTGATTGGTCTCAAAACTTGAAATTAAGCCAGGGATGAAAGAAAAAAAAAGTTTCATTAGATGAGGCTCTTCTTTGTATTTGTTTCTGACGTTTGTTTTTGTGCTCCATAGCTTCGGATGTGCATTTTGTGTGACTGTTGTGAGTGCAGTTCGAAGCTTTAGGTGTTGGTGAAGGATTTTCAGCTGTAGGGCCTTGGTAATCATATCGGCAAGATTTTAAATCATTTTGCCTGGAGAAAATTGAAGGCGAACCTTGACCTTCTCACTGTAAGGCAGGTGTTGAAAATGGATGGATGGGAGAGCTGAAGGTGAGAGACTGCCCGGGCACAGTTGTCAGAAATGAGTACAGGAACTTTTAGCACTGTGGTACATGAAGCATAAAGAACATTTTTTTTTTGTTCAGCCTGCCAACATGTTTTGAAAAACTAGTGCAGAATTCATAATGCCTAACATTGCTTGCTGAGCCAATATAATAGTGAAGCACTCTCAGCTGTTTGAGATATTAGTCTCAGTTTAAAAATGATAGTATTGGGCATCTCTAGGACCATGTTATAATGACCTCCTTCCTCTCCCTGGAATGCAACCCCATAATATATATATATAGTATTTGAAATTCCAATGCATACATATCAATAGTAAATTAAAATATCACACCCCTAGATATCTAAGAAGGGCACACACCCTTCTCTGTGTCCTCTCTGTATCTGTTCTGTAATGACGTGATATGACAGGCCATGGAAAAGGTGAGAGTGCCCTAGGCTACGCTGGATTCAGACAGGGCAGATTGAAAGAGATAGGGGATATCTTCAGAACATAAACAGAGCGTGTGATTTAAAGTTCATTTTGTTGCCATTTCTCTGGGTGTCAGAAATGGAAAAGCAGATGAAAATTGAAAACCTCTTCGTGACGTGGCAGCAGAGATCAGCACAGTCCAACATGCCCATCACGGTGAGTACCTGAAGCACAGCAGCACAGGAGAGCTCTGACAAGTGCCTCCGTTTGCAGGCTCTCGCTTTTCAGGCGAGGTGTCATGAGAGACCTCTGTGCCACCAGCTTTCGAGCTCTTCATCCTGATGATGTCTGTAGCCAGTGCTGCACATTCTCTTCCTTTGTCTCTAGATGAAATATTTAATTACTTTTGCAGAAGGTTGCCATAATTTCGTAAAAACTTGATTGAGATCCATTAAAGTGTCTGGAGAAATAACCTATCAATAAAGAGCAGTCAAAAGATTAAAAAAACCCTATTAGGGGCCCTTGGGCAAGGAGGAAAATGTGTCAAAGATAAACTCTGAAGGATGAACGCCTTTGTCCCAGTTTCTCAGTTTGGCTGAAGTGTTTCTTCTGAAGTCAGAAGTCAGTGTAATTTCACAAAACTCTGAGAAGTGTAAATAAACCACTCCTCTGCGGCTCTTCGTGTTTTACACATACCATGGTATGAACCTTCTGAGCGTCATCTTTGTTCATTTCTGTAATTTCTCTATCAGATGGACCCCTCTTCTTTAATGTCTTCACTGACTGATTAATTGTGCCTCCGATTAATTAAAATGACAGGAGAGCACAGCAGAGCAGATTTATCAAGCTCTGAACACCAAACAGCGCAAGAAAAAGCCAACCTGTTTATCTAACAAATATATCAATAAGTAAGGTTTATGGGATTGAAGACTAAGAGCTGGGAATTAGCTAATGCTTAAAGTTATACTGGATATCAGTGAATATTTGTGAAAAATGTATCCAAAACAAAGTCCTTAAGAAACCTGTGCAGTTTTATTTAAAGCTATAAATATGTTTTGCAAATCGTGCCATGCCTGACTTGCATTCATTATGCGTTTGACTGCTGATAAATATTTGTGTACAATGGTACAGTATGTAACAAAGCCTGATGGAACTGGTTGCGAGTGTAACGCCTGAGGATTTGATTGGCAGGTGGCTGATTTGGACACTCTGAAACAGTCGTCCCGCCTGGTGCACTACTGCGCCACCCCGCTGCTCTTTGACCCCGTCTTCCGCAGGCAGATCCAGGAGGAGCAGGCAGGCAGCCCGCAGGTCAAGGTGCGTTATTGGCCACACATTGTTAGAAAGCTGCGAGGCCCCCCCCGTTGTCGCCTGTTAAATCGGACTGATGCTGCCGAGGCTGTACCTTGAACATTCCTGGGAAACGTTTGTCTCGCTTGTTTTAGAAACTGGCCGCGCTCGTCAGTCTCTCCCACCGTTCCCGAAGCCCTTCACGTTTGTGTTGGCTATTTAAACCCCAGGAGCTTTCGCAGCTCTCTCCGAAGTGTGACAGCATGACGTCCTCTGGGCCTCTTTCTGTCATTGTTTCAGATGCGTGCCAAAAGCCATTTGTAAGGTACAGTGGGGGAAAGAGATGTCATTCACGACCAGACCCTGCTTCTTGTGCTGGGGCCCTCTCTGTTCTCCATTGGAACAGGATCGTGAATTTGTTTCCTTTTAAGTGTTCCCACGCATGTCCTTCTGTAAACGATTTAGAGAGTGCCGTGTGTCGGGGCCTGCGTTAGAAGGACTCTGTGCGTGGCGAGTGCAGCAGCAGCACGCTCTTCGTCGTTCCCAAGGCGAAAGCCGTAGGGCTCCGGCAGCTCGCGGGGAACGGCGCTCTCGCACGCGTCCTGGGAATCCGTCTCGGCTCCGCGCGTCTCGCCGCGCCCCGGCCCGCCTCCCTTGTAACCCTCGCACAAGCCGGAGCAGCTGAGCGGAAGGAGTTTCCGGCGCCCTCCTCGCGTTGTTTTTCAGCCTCTTTCCCAGGTGCCCCGAGAGTTTGCGTAACCCGTCTCCCTGTGCCTCCTGCCTGACCCCCGCAGAAGAGGCATCGCTCCAGCGACTCGACGGCCTCCGGGCGAGACCGCAGCCACAGCTGTGACTCTGTGGAGATGTTGCCCAGCAGGATGAAGGACGAGCCCTGGTTGCAGGACATCTCCAACACCTTCCTGCAGCAGTATGTCCAGTACCTGCAGAGCATGGGATTCATCCTGGTGCAGGTCCGGCCCTCCTCCCCGGCCAGGAGGTAACTCACAGAGTGGCAACTGGCGATGGATTAGCGACCAGTGAAACTTATCCTTCTGTTCCTCACTGGCCCGGGCGGCAGCTGAGTTGCGAGTAACGATTAAATGCTGAGCTAGATTGCTCCTCTTTTATCCGGGTTTGCATCGTGCGTGCCGAGGATGACATTTAAGTGATCAAAAAAATCTTTGAAAATAATAAAAGCCGTGAACAGTCAGATGGAATTGTTTAGAAATTCAGATCTTATTTCTTCTTCACGCGTTGTCCTTCACGCGTTAATCCATCTACTTCCTTTTAGTGCCCATGGACTAGAAGAGTGCTGTTGTCGCCAGTAACTGTTATGACTCATTAACTATGGGAACTGTGACCATGAAGAATGAGATTAAAAACCAGCTAGGTGGAGATGCTGTGTATTCTGACCTCC